TGTCCCTCAGCAGCTCATGCTCCAGCCACATAGAATCACTTCACGGATTGTTGCCTAGCAGGGGCCTTTGTTCTTGCTGTTCCATCTTGGCATGCTTTTCCTGCTTGCCCTTTATAAGCCAGCTCCACTTGCCCCTCTTCCAGGAAGTCTTCAAGGCTGAGTTAGAGACTTTTTCTGGGCTCCCACGGCCCCTGCGCTGCATTGGCTCAACATCTGCCTCCCACGTCAGGCTGGGAGCCCCTCGAAGCCAGGAGCCATGTTTGCTTGTTCCTTGTCCCCAGAACCACCCAACATGTGTTCAATGAGTATTCAAGGAATAACTTGGTGTTTGCTGAGTAGTGAGCCCTGCACCCCCCCCCCCCCCGCCCCCGCCCCCGCTGCATGCTGTCACCTGAAGGTGGGCGCTCAGCTCTGGGGAAAGGTGGCCTTTATGGCTGCCTGCGTCTGCTGATCCAAAGGAGCCTGGCTGCTCTCTGAGTGTCCACCAGCCACAGGGAGCTCCCCGAGGGCAAGGACCGTGCCTCTCTCATTCTGTATCTGTCACTCCCAGTGCAAGGCCTGGCACACAGCAGGCACTTACACAGTAGGCTGAATGGTTGGACCACCCCTGGAGGAGGTCTAGGGTGGGTAACCCCAGGGCTCAGCCTCCGGTCCTGACCTGGCCTTGGGTTCCAGCGTGGCCCAGCCAGGTCTGAGGAGACCCAGGGAGTGTGCGCGCTGCGGGAGGGTGACCAAAAACTGGCAGAGGCCGTGCTGCTCTGGGCAGGCTGGACTCGTGCCTGGGCAGCAAGCCCACACCCTGGGTGCAGCAGGCTTTGGGCGTGGGGAGATGTGGCCTGGGATGTCTGGCCTAGGCTAGACCGAGGCTCTCAGGTGGCAATAACCAAAGCAGAGTGTCCAGGACAGGGGAGGGGCTGACCTCACACCACCCTGCTGTACCCAGCCCTGTACCTCTCAGCCCCACTGCTCTGCCTCAGTTTGGGACAACTCTGAAGGGCCACCCAGCTCCAAACTTTGCTTAGGATCAGCCGAGGCCTCACCCCTCCCCCTGCCCAGTGGCACCCTCCTCCCTCCGCGCTTGCTTCCAGGTCCCTGGAGAGTGCTCCCCAGTAAACCTGCCACGCCCTCCCTCCCCGTCTGTTCCAGGGAGCCCTGTCCACGGCACCCTGTCTCTTCTTTCTTCACCTCCTTCCCGCCTGAGAATGTGAGCGTGTGGCGAGCAGGGACCTTACTTTGTTCACTGCTCTATACACAGGGCTTGGGCATGCCTGCCACATACTAGATGCCCATGGACACTCGTGGGGTGCATCACCCTTCGCCTGAGAGCTTCTCCTGAGATGAGGTCCCCTATCATAGGCTGGTCTTCCAGCCGTCAAGCAGGTGGGCCCTGTGTATCATGGTGATTTGTGTGTTCATGCCCAAGGGAAGGCGGTCTGCGACACTCAGGTCAAGGGGAAGCAGGGAGATTCTGTGTAAACTCCAAGGTGCCCCTGGCCTGCTCCTTTGCCAGCCGTGGGCTTGCTGCTGAGGGGCAGAGCCCAGCAGGTCACAGAGCCTCAGACACCTGCCCTGGCACAGCCGAGCCAGCCTTGGGAGGCGACAGAGCAGCCTGCAGGGGGAAAGCCCGTCTCTTCACAGGCTTCTAAAGGGCTCCAGACCCAGCGACTAGAAACCTCCTGGTCAGTCAGATGCAGCTAATTAATGTAAAAGTGGGGAGAGCTGGAATACAGGCGGCTCTTGGAAACGGCTTCCCCCAGCCTGAGACCGTAACTCCCTTGCCACTGCTGGAAATGAAGTGAGGAAACTTCTAATGACTCAACCAGACACAGATCTGGCCGAGTGAGAATATGTTCACATCTGTTCATAAAGACAGTGTCAAAATGTTGGTTCCAGAAGGCTGTTGCTTCGAAGTCCAAGTCCCTGTAAGTGCGTTTTTATATCAATAGTATGACCTCTCCCCTTTCTCCCCAGACTCACTCACTAGGTAAGTAGTCTGTTCTCAGGCCTTAACCCTACACATGGCCTTGAACACCATTCTATATTCCTTCCTTCCCTGTGTTTGAGGAGGAAAGGAATGTTAAGAAGGTGGTGACGATGAGGTAGGTGGGTGTATCTCCGTGGAGGGGGCAGGTGTTGTCACGTTCGAGCTTTCAAGCTACACCAGGTGGTCTCTGAGCCTCGGTTTCCTCACCTGTGCGGGAAGGATAAAAACCATCAGTCCTGCGGGCTCCACCTTGCAGATCAGCTGCAAGGGGCTTGAAGTGAGAGCGCAGTGGGCACCAGCCTCCACAGCTTAGATCCGAAGAGGACACACCAAGAGCGGCCACTCGGACTGGGATGGGGGCGTGCTGCTCAGGCCCACCCTGCGACAATGGCCCCTTCCAGGGCAGCCCTCAAGCCACAAGGCTATCACATTGCCCCCTCGATCCCAGCCTCAGGATTCAGACTTGCTCCCCTCACTCCCCTTCCTGCCACCGGTCTCCAAGGAGCTTCAGCCTGCTCAGCCTGGCTTCAAGCCATCACCGCCGCTCACCCAAGTCCCGCAGTGGTCTCCAGCTGGGCTCCGTACAGTCGCCTGCCGGCTCATCCTCCACACACGATCAGTGTTTTGGTTTTTTTTAAAAATCCCTTTGACTCAGCAATTCTGCTAGGAATTTATCCAATGGCTACGCTGGCAAAAGTACTCTAAGATACATGAACAAGAATGCTCATTGCAGCATTATTTGTAATAGCTAACAACTGAAAATAACTTGAACATCCATGGATAGATATTAGTGCAGGTGCTCAAAAGAACAAGGTAGCTCCTGTGTGCTGATGTGGCGAGAGCCTGCGATCCCAAGTATTAGGTGAAAGAGGACGGTGCAGGCCCTGGCCAGGTAGCTCAGTTGGTTAGTGTCATCCCCACCCACCAAGGCTGCAGGTTCGGTCCCTGGTCAGGGCACACACGAGTCAACCAATGAATGCATCAATGAGTGGACCAACAAAAATGGTATTTCTCCCTTCCTCTCTGTAAAATCAGTATTTTTTTTTTAAAGGTGTACAAGAGTCTATAAATAGGATAATGCAATGTACATATATGTTGTTATACATGTACACTTAAATCGTTCTATATAGGAAAACTCTAAGCTGTAGTCACCCTTAGGGAAAAGGACTAAGGACTGCCTTGGTCCTTCACTTTTACAGTATACTTCTGAGTTCTTTAAATCTCCACCATTTATATGTAGTAATTACCTTTAAAATAAAAAGTAAAATGCGCAGCAGGGCTCAGTGAACCCCCTGGCTCAGGCCGCCTGCCCCGGGAGGTCTGGGTGCTTGGCATCGCCGCTCCAGCCTCACCCCCGACCTGCCCGCCTCCCGCGCACCACGCTGACTCCCCTCGCCGCGGCCCCTTCACACACACCGCTGCCAGTGGGGTCTTCTTCACGGTACTCCCTCTGCCACCCCTCCCATCCCTGCCGAGCCGGAAAGTGGAAAGAACACGAGCCTGGAGGTCAGAGACACATGGGCTGCGAACTCATTCCTGCCATTTACTCCTGTGGTGGGTGTGACATGTGCTCCATGTCTCTCCAGAAAGAAGCTCCAGCAGCAGGAATGTCCATGGCGAACTGCTCTCAGCCCAGTCCCTCTGGGAACTGCACTTGGCCCAACGAAGCCACCAAGCCCAAAGTGTCTCCGTCTCTGGGGAGCAGTGTATATCCAGTGGCTGGTGACGGGGCACTGGTGTTTTTAGAAAGGCTCAGCACCTCGCCTCTGGGGCCCAGGGCTCCTCCAGAGCACCCGCACAGCTGGAAGCGGCCGCGGCCTCGGGGGGCAAACCCGCCGCGCTCAGCCTCTCCCCGCGCAGGGCGGCCACCGCCACTCTCCGCAGCTGCCGATCGCGGTTCCCCCGCCACTTTCACCTGCCCGTCTCCATCTCCATCTCCAAGTGTTTCCTAGGGAAGCTGGCCTAACACACCTGCTGTGTGGTCTTGGACACATCCCTTACACTGTTTCCTCTTTAGGGCCCAGAAAGTGCCTAACACTCATGGGCACTCACCATTCCTCTTGAATATGGAAACGACATTTACCCAGCAAGGGCTGTGTGAGGATTCAAGGGGCTGTGTGTAGGTGCCTGGCCCAGAGTAGGACTTGATGTTATTAGCACACACACAGACCAGCTGAACCACGGATGTACTCAGCCATTAAGTAGGACACTAGTGAGAAATCTATTGGGTTGGCCAAAAAGTCCATTTAGGTTTTTTTCATGTAATAAAGACGCATTTTTCATTTTCACCAGTAATTACTTACTTGCATATTTTGAGTACGTCAGCTATCTCCTGCGTGGTAGAATGCTGATTGTTCTCCAAGTGTCCGTCTGATGACTATTAACTCCAACTGGTCAACCCGACCATAGAGCATCGTCCAGTGAGAAATCTCCAGCCCAGCACGAAACTTCACAAACCACTTTTGACACATTCAGTCACATGCACCTTCTCCATACACTGCACAAATTTTTGCATTTCAGTTGCATGTTTATCTTTCTTGACATAATAGAGCATAATATGCCAAAAACACTGTGTAATTTCTTCCATCTTCTATATTAAAATGGCTACACAATTCACCAATTTTCCTAAGTTTTTTTTAAATACATGCTGATATGACAGCTGTCACAATAGAATCTAACAAAAATTGTTTGGAACGAAGTTAAAGACAACCAAGTGCTACTACATCCATCTTATAGAAGAAACCAAATGGACTTTTTGGCCAACCCAATACGACACTCTATTCAGACACTACATACACATGAACTAGTCTTCAAAACAAGGTAGGTCATATTAGCCCTAAGTTTTAGGTGAAGAAATGGAAACTCAGAGAGATAGATTCTTGTCTAAAGTCACAAAATGGGCCACGGGCAGAGCCAGGACAGGCCCGGCGGCAGGGCCTGTATGGTGCAGCGGCAGGCTCACAGTGCAGGCCGATGTGCAGCTGCAGGCGCCTCCCCGGGCAGCACCCTCACACCAAGCACAGGCTCCAGTGCACGGGCGGTACTCTTTATTGTCAGCGTGACCACCAGGCTGAAAGAGCACTAGGTTTTCAGGCCGGCCCAGGCACAGCCCCAGGAACCGCCCAGGGTGCAGGATCTTCATTGAGGGACGGCCGGCGGGGCCTCAGGCCTCAGAAAGCTCCTTGGCTCACACAGCGCCGTGCAAATACAGAGCTAAAAACTTCTTGAACGTCTCTGGCTGGAAACCCCTCGGCCCCACAGGTTCCTGGAAAGAACACAACCCATTAGGATCCTACTACCAGGTTTAATGGCAGCAATTAAAACAAAGGTCGGCTTTATGTAAATCCTAAGTACCTGGATAATAACTCTTTCCTTCTCTCAAGGACCAAGGAGGGGCCCTGGAGAGCTGGCACCAAAGAGATGCCTGAGGGGCTGGGTTGGAGAGGACATGAAGCACTCCTAGCGCCTTTCAGCCAAATCTTCTGTCGACAATGGCGTGATCCCTAATCCCTCTCACTTCAACCACCACAAACAAATGGTTTGTTGCTCCTTTTCGTCCTGGGGGGCAGTTAAGTCTCCGCTCCTGCCACATACACTTACTAGGTACCTTCTCTGTACTGGGCCTTGTGCCCAGTGCTGGAAACCTCCAGTGACTTGAATCTGGCTCCTGCCCTCATGGAGCTTACAGCCAGGTGTTCAAATGGAGACAGTAGAAGGTGGCAGGCCTCCTAATAGCACTAGAAAAGAGATGCGAAGAAAAATGGGAGAGCCCTGGCTGGTGTGGCTCAGTGGACTGAGTGCCGGCCGGTGAACTGAAATGTCGCCTGTTCGATTCCCAGTCAGGGCACATGCCTGGGTTGTTGGCCAGGTCCCCAGCTGGGGGTATGTGAGAGGCAACTGATCAATGTATCTCACACATTGATGTTTTTCTTCCTTTCTCACTCCCTTCCCCTCTCTCTAAAAATAAATAAATAAAATCTTAAAAAAAAGAAAAGAAAAATAAGAGAAAATGACTAACTCACTGACTTCAATACACAGAAACAACCATGTATGCATCTTTTTTTTTTTTTAAATGAGTCTTAAAGGGCAAGTAGAATGGGGCAGAAAGAAAAGGAAGGAAGCTTCAGAGAAACCAGTATGGGCCCTGGTACAGAGTCACAGAGGAAGGCGGGAAGGGCAGGGTGAGGAGGCTGATGTAGCTCAGGGGCAGGGGCACAGGAACTGAGCTGGACAGGAAAGGAGCCACTGACTAAACCAGGAGGGCCTGGTACTAAGTGTTCTGGAGGGAAGAAGCTGAAGGAAGAGGAGAGACATGCAGGGGAGAAGGAAGAGCATGACGAGGAGCAGACACGTGAAGGTGGCCAGTATGGCTACGCAGGGGACACAATGGTATGTGAGGCAACGAGAAGGGCCGGGGCCCAGGAAGCATTTTAGGGGTAGAAACGACAATGATAGATGTTGGAGAACTAATTACACAACTGACATGTTGCTAATCTTCAGAGGCTGAACACCACCGTTTAGCAAATCTACTCAGGCTCTGCGTGGGACACGGGACACAGCGAGTCAGGTCCAGCAGCGTCCCTAGTGGTCTCTGCCACCCCTCAATCCCGCGTTACGTCTCCAGAGTGCTAGTCTGGCCTGACGTTACACTATGGACGGACTTAGATCCTGCCGCCGCCCTTGCACAGGAAGCAGGCCGGCGCTCGTCGGGTGGCCCTGGGGGTGCAGCGGTGACATGTAAGCAGTGAGCATCCCCTCAACCCCAGCCCCTGGTGGGGTGAGTCATGGCCCTGCTCCAGTCATAGGTGGGAGATGGCTGGACTTACCACAACCACCTTCTTTTTGATCACTGGGCGACACCAAAAATGCTGATAGAGGAGCTGGTCTGAGTCCACCCATACCAGATTCTTGACGCCCTCGTTAGAAGCCAGGTCTGTGGTGTTCAGCTGTAGCACCAGGAACTGGAAGACCCGTCCATCAGTGCCCACACTCTGCACAACTATGGGCTGCTCCAAAACCTTAGCGTCGTTCTGAGAGGAAAAGGGGACAAAGACATCAAATGCAGAATTGTGGGGCATAAGGAAGAGCGCAGGCCAGGCAGCTTCTAGTTTTGGCCTTGAAAAGAATGCCCACTCCCATTTACTGGTCTCTCCACAAGACAAAGAAAGCAGAATGAGTTCAGGGCCCTGACCAGGGCCAGGCCTCCCCCCCTCCCCCCTGAGCGGGGCTCTGCCGGCCCGGTGCCTCGTGGCCCCAGGGTGCCTGCTTTTCAAGCTGAGCACATGAAAGTAATAATTCCTGCCACTGAGAGGGGATTACTGGGCAGGTGGCACAGGACAGGAAGGTGGGCTGAGAGGTTAACAACAGGAAATCCCTCAAACTTTTGGTGTCACCTCAGGGCGACAATGGTGACATCAGCTCTCTCAAATGTGGACCTAGAGGGCCAATGGCTGTATATAATCTCATTCAGTTCGCATCCCACTGGACAAGCGAGGAAACTGAGATTCAGTGAGGCAAGTGGCTTGTCTGGAGTCACAAGGATGTGTAGCATCAGAGCCCGGGCTGGCCCAGCCTCGGCCACGCTCACTTCCCACGTCTGCCTGCGCCCAGGGGCCTGGCACCCCGGGAGACGGGCAGTGGTCTCATCAGGGCTTCATGCCCTCGATGCGGCTCCGAGAACAGGCCCGGTTCCTGGGCGTCCAGTCCGCCACGGCAGCTGCAGGGTTTCACCAGTCAACCCACTCGCTAATTATCTCTTTCAATTAGTGCCACTTCATAATAATAACAATACCAGCAACCATTTACGGAGGGCCTCTCATGTGCCAGGCATTATACCAGTTTTACATAAAATCGCTTCTAATCTCCTAAGTCTAATGGTATATTCCCATTTAACAGATGAGAAAAAAGAGGTTCAGAGAGGTGGTATAATTTGCTCAAGGTTACCCATGAGATGTGAGCCACCTCATGCTATTAAATGACTTAAAATACTACTGTTCTGGTCTACACCCAGTGTCCCAGGGCAGCCAGTAACAGTGCCTCTCTTCCCGCTCAGCAGTGTCCCCGTTTAGATGACAAATCAGATGTTCACCCTACTGAGACTTTGCAGCAATCCAGTTTCGTGATTGCTACCCACTGGACAAAGCTCCACCAGGCAGGCCGCATGAAGCACAGCGTCCTTGATTTGAAAATGCTGCCTACGTTCACCCTCCAGGGCTGCATCTAACGTTAGGAATAGCTAATGTCAGACCTCAGTGTGGGCCACACTGGGACTGCTGGCCTTAGAAATACCTGTTCTTAGCTGCACGAGAAATAAATAAAAAGAAAAGTACCTCTAAGTGTTAGCTGAGAATTTTGTATTGACTCTTATCTCCCTCTACAGATCAATAAAGCTGCAGGTAGTACATAAATTTCTCAGCAATTTTACCTTTTACACAGAGGCTCTTCCCATAATTGCTCAACTTCACGGCCCCAGGAATAATCTGGACCTGGAGGGGGTGGGGGCGGCCTCCTTTCTACCCAACTGGGTAGCAATTAGTGGCAGCGTTGCTACCCGTGCTCTGCTGGCACAGAAGCGACGAGCCCGCAGGCCTGGAACCTGGCACGTGACGATCTCTGCAGCCTTCCCTGCCCCAGAGACGGGAGGCAGCACATCCTTCAGAGCTGGCTGGATCAGGGCTCCACGGCTTGCCAACCCGCTCATTAGCTGTGGGCTCTTGGGCAAGTTACTGAACCTTCCAGAGCCTTCAGGCAGTATATGGAGAATGCAAACAAAGATAACCTTCCAAGGACTGGAAAGACACAAGGTCACATAAAGGGGTGACAGCTGCTAATCCCTAAGCTGTGTCACCTTGGGCAGTTACTTATCCTCCCTGAGCCTCAGTTTCTTCATCTGTAAAATGAAGCTACTAGTGTCTGCCACTGGGGGGTCGCTACAAGGGTTAAATAATGCAGCGATTCTGAAGTGTCAGTGCAGTAGTTTCAGACCTGAGCTTGCACCAGCAGCCCTGGAAGGCTTGTCCAAAACGGACTGCCAGCCCTGCCCCCCGCTTCTGAGGCAGTAGGTCCAGTGTGGGTCTGGGAACCAGCACTTCCCACACGTTGATGCTGATGCTGTTAATCCAGGACCATATTTTGAGAACAACCCTAATTAAATGTCTGGCATGTAGCAGATGTTCAATACAGGCAAAGTCCATGCCTCTCTCCATCTCATTTGGCTAACAATCTTCCAAACCCCACCTCGCTCCAGACAGAGAGGGATGGGCAACAGAGCACGTTGAATTTACTCCCTCCCCCAGAAGGGTCTTAGGCTCTAAACTGCCAGCAGTTCCCAGAAACACTCCCCCACCCCTCGCTCCCAGAGAGGCTTCCCCCAATCTCATGACAGCTCTGTATGGCTGACCACTCAGCCTGCGTCCTACACCATCCAGGTCCCTGAGGCCTCCTCTCAGAATCAAGGGGCTCCCACCAAGGCGTATCTTGGGTCCCCAGAACCTGTCCCGAATAAGCAGGCAGGTCTGGGTCCCTCTGCTGCTCCGCTTCCCCTGCCTGCCCAGGGAGCCTGGTGCGCCAGTTTGGACACAGCAGCACAGAGGGGTATGCTGCGGGCAAACCACGAGGCCTTGGGAGCTGGGTGTGCCTGGTTCCCAAACTTTCTCCAGTCCTTACTGCTGTGTAATGCCGCAGAGGCGGCTCAGCCTCCCCGTGACTCAGTGGCATAATATTAACACTGGGGGTCGCAGTGAAACTGCACGGGCTGCCATGATCACCAAGTGAGGCCCCCAGAGGATGTCAGCTCATCTCTGCAGGGTGAGCGCAGTGCCTCTCCTAAAATTCCTCAGTAAAACAAGGGATCCCCCCACGCCCGGCTCCTTCCTTCCTTTGAGCAGTGTGAGGCGGGAGACCACCATGTGTAAGGCAGCTCGGTGGTCTCCTCCACATACCTACCCCATAGAGGAGCCGGGCCTGAGCCAGGGCATTGCCAAAGGCAAACAGGATCATCTTGGCCCTCAGCTGATCTGGCTGAAAGCGGTATGTTCGTACATTGGCTGCCTCCAGCAAATACAGGGTGTGCACATAGGGGTAAGGGTAACCCTCCTGGAATCCTGCAAGACATATAACCATGTGGAGGGCAGAAAAGGTTAATGAGCCTGACCCAACGCCTCAGGAAAGTCACCTCACCTTAGCTCAGTGCCAGGCACCACAGAGACTCAGCAAAGGCAAGACACTATCACTCCAGCTCAGGGGCTGGCAAACTTCGGCCTGCTGGCCAAACCTGGCCCCCCATCTGTTTTTAAAAATAAAGTTTTTTTACCGACCACAATTCTGTCCATTCACTCATTTATATACTGTCCATTAAGTAGCTGTGGCAGAGGCCATATGTAGCCTGCAAAACGTACAATATTTACTGCGTGGCTCTTTACAGAAAAATGTGTGGCACTGTTACAGGTGATTCTTCCATGAATCTATCTCCACCCATTTCTCATTCAAGCGCACGGATGACAGTGACATTAGCAGAAAGATAACCTGAAAGCTACGATAGTAATTTTTTTAAAAAAAGGCAAATCATTTGCAAAATTCAATACTTTATTATTAGTAACCAATGACTTGCCTTATACCTCACAATTATCAGCACAACACTGGTGCTGAGAATCCAAGCTGGGCACCTGCTCATCTCAGCCATGACCCTGCTAGTCATGGCTCTCCTCCCCTCCATGGCTCTGGGCAAACCCCTGGCCGGCTGGGGGCTTCCAGAATGAGTAACCTGGACCGGTGAAAAGGAGGAAGAAAGAGGCTGGCACTACGTGGCTCTGAAGACCTCAGAAAAGAGCGCTACTTAGGAGACACGTGGCTCTCTGCCTCAGTCCTTGCTTCGGTCCCTCAGCACACGTGAGCACCCAACACTCGGCGCTCACTTGGCGCCGGGCTCCACGAGAGGTGCCAGGAACAGAGCCAGGCAGAGACTGCCACTGCCATGGAGGCACTCACAGTTCAGCGGGGCAGACAGACAGGAAAACTGATCATATCCACAAAGAGGGACATGTCAAGATATGAGGTGAGTCAGGGGGCTGTGGGAGGAAAGATAAAAGGTCCTTGATGAGACTGGAAAGGCCCAGAGCATCCTGGGGAAGTGATTCTTACGAGGAACTATGCAAGATGAGGCGTAACCAAGCTGAAGACAAAAAGAGGCGAATGGTCCAAAGTTCCAGGTAGAGGGAAAAGAACGTGTCAAAGCCCAAAAGTGAGAACGAGCACGATGTGTTAAGTACATCAGGAATACAGAGGGCACCGGGGGAGCAGAGATGAGGCTGGAGAGAGGCGCAGGGGCCAGACCTGAAGGCCTTCATGTGATACGCTACGGAGCTCAAACTTTATCCAACACACAGGGGGGAGATGGGCAGGGAGAGAGAGATGGAATTACACTTGTATTAGAAAGGTTAAACGGTGAACTAGATGAGCTGGGGGGAAAACAGCGGGGGTCATGCTGACGGGTTGGGAGACTATGACAATGGGCCGAGGGAGCGACAGTGGGCTCTGACCGAGGCTGCAGGTGCAGAAATAAGGAGCGGTTAAGGGGAAGCCGCTACAGCTCACAACGACTGAGTGGGTAGCAGAACTGTGGGCCTGCCTGGCCCGACTCCCTGCTTTCTGTCTGGCTGACTGGGCGGTGCCTTGCTTGACGGCATTTGGATGAAGAGCCCCATCCAAAGCCTGTGGGGCTTCCTCAGTCCTACCGGGAGGTTGGCCAGAGTTTACACGGTATAGAGAAAAAGGGTGTCTTTCAAGGGACCTATGAATACAGGAAACATATGGCCCTCAAAAGCGCCTCACACCACCCATTAAAACTCTGATCTAACAGCGTTGCTTCTCAGGTGTCAAAAGCAAAGTCGGCCTTTGAGCAAATCATGTGGGCTCTCTGAGCCTCAGCCGCCTTGCCTATAAAAGGGGGATAATAGTACCTGTTGCACAGGGCTGCTCCATGGATCTTAGAAGAAAATGCACGTGAGGTGCCCAGCACACAGTAAGTACTCAATATATCCTTCCCCTTCAGAAAAAGCACGTCTCTCATCTCCACACTGCCTGAAAGTCAAAGGCTTTGATACTTACCTGTGTCGTCTTTTTCGTCATAAACATTGTATTCCTGAAGACCAATAGTGGGAGATATGGGATAGAAGGTCTCGAGAACATGATCCTTAGTAGCTTCAACTTCCTCTCTGGAGGCGACAGGGGGCAGAGGATCCCTGGCATTCAGCCGGGCCCCACTGGTACCGCGGACCTGAAGGAGAATAGACTCTAAAGGGGAGAGACAGTTAGTCTAACCTGGTCTAAAGCCTTGTCTCAGCCTCACCCTGCCATGCTCAAGTCTTTATAGCTTTCTGGGCTAATCACCCTAATCACAGAAAACAAAACTTTGGTTAAGGTATTAATCCTGGGATTCTTGAGAGGAAACTGACCGATGCATTCTTCTTCCTGTGTTCTCTCTCCAGCGACCCCAAAGACCTGGTGGTTTCTGGGGGTTCAGGGCTGCCCCACACGGGTTGTCCTAAGCCCAGCTCTCAGCTGGGAGCCCCACAATGAGAGCTATGCTCTGCTCTGAAGAAGCTCGCCAGGTAGTAAGTGCTCCAACCAAAGTATGAATTATACTCAGAGACAGGAGAGGTGGGAACACTGACCTCCTTCTGCAGGCCTGGGAAGCTTCCTGAAAGAAGCATTGCCTTCAAACTAGCTTCTCAAGGCGAGTTAAGAGCAGAATTTCTCAACTCTGGCACTATGCACATTTTGGACCAGATAATTCTTTGGCAAGGGAGGCTGTCCTGTAGACACATGAGAGCACCCCTGACCCTACCGGCTGGACAACAGGAGAACTCCCCTGACTCCCCCCACCCCCTTTCTAACCTGGTTCAAGTCCTGTCACAATCAAAAATGTCTCCAGACACTGGACAATCTCCTCTAGATGGCCAAACTGTCCTTAGCTGAAAACTGCTGGTAAGAGTTTGCCAGGCAACGAGGAGACACAGCATTCTAGTTAAGACAGAATAACACGTGCAAAGGCCCGGAAGCGTGCTGCTCCCTGGCAGGGTAGGGAAATAAAGCCAGGGGGCTAGAGTACAGTGTGGTGGGAGGGAGAGACGGAGAGAGAAGTCCTGAGGCTAGAGGCTCGGGAGGAAGGCTATTAAACCCAGGAAAAAGGCCAGGTTGTCCTGAACAACTGAGAGTGAAAAAAAATCAAGCCAGTCAGAAAACCTCACTTAAGTCGGATTAGCGTATTTCCTACAAAGTGACATAGGTGTATAAGGAAAAAACCTCACATCTGAATAATCAGTAAGCCTCCTGGTCTGACTGTGAATGCCCTTCCTGGAGGTCCCCATCAGAGGCCACATGCCACCACCAGGCAAAATGGAAACACTTCTTGAGAATGGCCTCCTGAGAATTCTACACGGAGGCTGGCAAATCTTCCTCTGAAGGTGCATGTTTGTTCGTTTGTTTTTTAGAAATAGTCAAATAGCTGCGTAATGGTAATGGATCAAGAATGATGAGTTTATCTATGCTGTGGTCATTAAAATCTGTCATTTAATTAGCATGTGGCATCCCTTATTGAGTATGTAAAAAAGGGATACTGCATCTGTGGATAGATAAACTCTGACCTATTTGTTAAAATAAATCATACCCACACCTCAAGAATAGTTTTCTGAAGTATTTCCTGTTTCCTCACACATAATCTGCAAGGAAGATAAATGTGCCCGGACCTCTCCTAACCTTGGGTTTTAGATTCTCCCCACAGACCACTCTAGTGTGGTTTCCAGTTCAATTCCCTCCACATCCCTCCTCCAGTGACAGCTCCAAATGGGGCAGTTTAATTAGAGGCAATCCTTGATGACGGGCCAACAAGTGCTCCTCTGTTAATGAGGTGCACTAATTTCCTTAGTGGTGCCATTACCTCGGCAAAGCTGAGTCCTTGCCAGGAAGTCCATATGCAAAGGGGCAAGCTGGAGAAACTTGACCAAGCAGATGTCCTGAAAATCCCAAATTATTTCATAGCTGGTTTCCCTGTTCCAGGTTTCTACTCATCAGAACACCCGTGTCTTCTGAACATTCCTACCTGAAATACCTGAAATTTGGTATTCATACACCTGTCCCTTCAGTCAGCACCTATCATGTACCCTGAACTGTTAGACACTGTGGACAAAAGCTGACAGTGTAGTAGGGCAGACAGAAAAGATAATTAGATAATTACAATATAATATGTGCTATGATAAAAACATGCATAATGGGCATAAGGACCACAGAGGAGAAACAGCTAACCTGTGGATTCACACAGGAAGGGGCCTGAGTTGAGTCTTGCAGGTAAGAATTTGGTCAAATGAGGAAAAGTAGAAAAGAGCCTTTCAGACAAAATGCACAGTGTGTGCAAATGTGTAAACGCTTGACGCCAAAAAGCTGCAAGTGGCTAAAGTGTAAATTTGGGCATGGGGGGAGGGTGGCAGGCAGCTGAGCAGGAGACAAGACTAGAAAGACAAGGCAGCAGCCATATCACAGACGGCCGTGGGTACCGTGATAAATGGTTGAAGCTATTGGAGACAGCGAAGGATTTGATAAAAGAGGGTCATAAGATGTGCACTTCAGAAAGATCACTCTAGCAGCTATGTGGGAAATGGGCTGGGAAAAGGAGAAAGGCATGCATGGGGTTAAAGGCTCTTGCCATAGAATATTAGCTGTGTGAGAGCAGAGACTGTGCGAGGTTTGTTACTTCCTTATCTTGCCAACATTTAGGCACTTGTAGGCACTCAATAGATATGTCTTTCGAATTAATGGCCTTGGGAAAAAGTGATTAAAAACAAAAAAAGCTGGGCTATGGCTAATGATACTGAGGACGTGACTAAGCCTACAAAATTGGATCATGAACGATGAAAGTGAGGACACATGCGGGGGTGTGGGGCGCTAGGAATGTGAGCTGGTGGTACAGGTAATATAGAAAGATGAAAAACAGACTACAGCTTTCTGGTATACCAACCTCGGTTCCACGTAGTGGATAACCTGTAGTTTTTGGCACAGATCCGCCTGGCCAGAGAAGGATGCTTTGAAATCTGGGACTTACACAGCTGTATCAGAGCGTCCACAATGACTGGGCTTGGAAAAAAAAGAAGAAACATTTGGAGACATAAAACAACATGTGATCCAAAATCCATCAACTGGAAATCTTACTGACTTTGGGGAATCTTACCAGTAGGACTTTCTCTTGGGGATGTCTTCAGTTGAGTGCCAGAGACGGGCATGATAGACCATGTTCAGAACACGTTCATCTTGGTTCTCTATGTGGTTCCTTGGGTCATCAACAAGGCTAAGCACTTTCTTGGGAAGGCCTTCTATTAACTTGGTCTTGGTAAGCCAGAGGGCCTGCTTTACACCTTTGGGGTAATTAGTCACAAAAAAAAAAGCGGGAGGGGGGGGGCACACAATTCAGAATGAGATACCTAAACCTGCCTGGTAGCATCTTGGGGAAAAGGCTAGAGACAAGACAGACAGACAGACATCTGAGGGGTCGGAACTACAAATAAGGAGCAGAAGCTAGAATAGCCAGATTTCAACTCTGTTTCAGGAATGACTGTCTATTGAGGGAGGGTTAACAATTGAGACAGTGAATGCCTGGCACAGCAGGAATTAAAACAGTGGCTAAAATGGCTGAGATCATAAGCATCTGCCTATTCAGATAGATGCTAGACTATGGGATTAGATCAGTGGGTGCCCACATTTCAAAACCTAGATCTCTTCTATTGACCCACACTTGGTCCCTGACCGTAAAAGCTCATTACCTACCAAATGTACCTCATTTATTAGCATTAAGCCCATGCTACTTTATCAAGGGAAAGGAGCTTTTGGAAATAATGGAAATAACTTTTAAATCATGAATAACTTGAAGAGCCCCAAGTTTGGGAGCACTTAAATAACATATCACATCTTATCTAACCCTGAGATTCTATACTGAGCTACTTAATAAACAGATTTTTGTATGAAGAAGCCCTCTGAAATACTGTATTTGTCTCCCTGACACCTTCTGAACCTCTCTCTGGCCTTGCTATAGGAAGACTGGGCTTTTTCTGGGTACGGTATTATTTAGTCTTTTGGACATGGTGAATTGCGTAGGCTGGGCTTTTTCTGGGTATGGTATTGTTTAGCCTTTTGGACATGGTGAATTGCGTAACTGAATCCCTATCCCAACGGTAAACAAACTTTAATTTCTTAAAAGGCCAGACAGTAAATATTTTCAGCTTCTGGGCTGTATGGTCTCTGTCACATAATCACCTCTGCCACTGTAGTACAACAGCAGCCATAGGCAAAAAGTAAACAAGTGGGCATGGCTGTGTTCTAATAAAACTTTCCAGAAACAGGCTACTGGCCTAGTTAGCTGCTCCGGTCTCTGTACCATTTGTTGTTGCTAGTAAGCTGAGAGCCAAGCTCCCCATTAGCAAGCAGAACCTCACAGAATGAATTTTTGGTATTCAACTGTTTTCTCTCTCCTTTGTGCTGAGTGCCTCACCTATCTATTGTTAATTTAATCTGGCTGTGTTGTAAAATTTCTCTAAGATCCTTTTCAAAAAAAGATTGAGTATAAATAAACTGAAATAGAGTTGATTCAGACTACTTTGTCTTTAAACACTAAGGAACATCAGCTACTCTCAGCAGGATGTGCTGTGCTGCCAGGCAAACTTCCTTAATTCACTTTCCCCAGACCTGACTTCCCTAAGGGAGGAAGAGGCACAGACCTAGGGAACTAAGCTCTGCATTAAGCCCACAACCAGTCCTCTACCTTCAGATCAAAGTTAACACTGTATTCTTTTCAATGAGTGTGCCCACAAGTTAGCAGAGGTCTGGTTAACCCGTTTGGTTGACAGGTTATCCATCCCAGCTGGAAAAAGACTACTCTGGCTCAGGGACATAATCTTCATTTGAAAAGCTGTGTCTGGGATTAGAGGGAGCCTAGACACTTCGGGGGATACATCCTCAGGCAGTTTCTTTTGTATTAATGAATAAAAGGCAATGAGGGCAATGAGACTTTTCACTTTAAGGCTCATAAGACATCAGAAATACAAACACTTAGAAATTGAACTTTTGGATTTTGTGGGAGGGCAGAAAAAATCCTGGAGTGGAAGCTGGGTAACCTGACTTTTACTCCTAGCGTTGCCACTGTTCCTTAAACTTGGAACTGTTCTGTAAAGTCTGTAACAAAACTCTTCAAGATACAGAGCTGGAGAAGCAGACTGGGGTGATGAAGAGATCATGAACTTTAGGGGTAGACACCTCTTTACAACCCACTTAATCCGGACAATTGTCAGAAAATCACTATAGGCCCTACTTCGTAAACAAAGAAACCGAGCCCTTCAGAGTTTCAATGTCTTGCCCAAAGACACAGAGGGCTGGGGTCAGTGCTGGGTAGAGGAACAAGGTCCCATCCCGTGCATCCTGGGGCCTCACCCTCGAGGAGGCTGCTGCGCTGGTGGAAAGTGTGGCAGACCTGGTCCTTGTACAGCGGGTGCTCGTGAATCGGAGGACTGCGGCGGAACTTTGGATGCGTCCAGCTCGGATCCCAGGGCGGGAAAACCGGCCGCGCTAGCCAGGGTACGAAATGCATCTTCCCCGCGTAGGTGATGGGCTCCAATCCAGGGATTTCGTACACCCTATCCAGGGGAGGAGGCTCGGGCTTCCGCGTGGAGCGGACGCCCCACTCATACGCCCCGCGTTTCGGGGCTCCATAGCCCCCAAGGCCGAGCCGTCCGGGGCGAGCCAGCGCCCGCTTTGCGGATCCCGACGTCAAAGCCATACCGATTTCGTCTCCTCAAGACCTCCACCTGGACGCCGCCATGTTCCCGTGCGCAAGGCCTGCTGGGAACGAAGGGGCTGGGCGCCAAAGTTAGTTTTGTGAGTGGCAGCCACTGGAACCAATCAAAGTCAGGGCACGCTGGTCTTGCCCCACCCCGCAGGCCATTTTCATTTTCTCATAGGTGGGATTCGGGGTGGGGGAGGGAGGGAGCCTGTAGGAGCCTCAGGTGAAGGGCAGCGCTGAAGTGTTGGTGAGTGGTCTTGGTTGTGACTGGGATGAGAATAGGACAACACCTAGGCTACAAACCTGAACTCAGGGCAGCTTGGACCGCTACCGAGCAGTTGGAGCTTGGGCAAGGCACTTTCCTCTGAGACCCAGTGTCCCTTGCTGTAAATGTAGGGATACAAACGCCTACGCTAGTTCACCTGTGCAGCGCCCGGCACGTAGTGTGCGCTGTCAGTTCTCTTTCCTTTCCATCCACTTCTGCTTGCTGCGAGCACTTTTACCTTGTCCTTCCCCTAAGCCTGAGAGTGACCCTGTCCTCCACACCAGCGTCATGGCTCCTACTGCGCGCCTCTTCCCCAAACCCGAGAGTTACTTTCCTCCCTTTTCTTCGGGATTTCCCTTTCCGCCTCCAGGAAGCGAGGCCAGAGCGATGGGGGCGTTCCTTTGCTCATTGAGCAACACCTGTTTATCAGATGCCTCCTATGTGTCAGGCACTGTGCTGAGCATTGTGTTTGTGTTTGTGAATAAAGTAGATGTGTGATGTAGCGCTTACAGTTTAATGGGAGAAACAGCAAGTAAACAAATAAGCGTTGACACACACACACACACACACACACACACACACACACTTCCTGTCCCTTTTCCCGGTTGTTTTTCTCTTTAGCATTTAACACAAACATATGTTTTCTGTTTTGATCTTATTTAACGACTATCTCCCACTAGAATGTGAGCTCCATGAGTGCAGGGTTTCTGTTTCTTCACTGGTATATCCTTCCACCCCCCAAACAGTGCCTGACACATAGTAAATGCATGTTTAATGAATGAGTACTAATAGAAGCAAATAGTATACATGATAGAGAATGAGAAAGGGGAGGTTTACTGAGGGCCTCTGAGGGGAGGTAACCTTATGCAAAGCCTGAAAGGTGAGGAGAGCCATCCAGGCAGAGGCAATGACATGTATCAAGGCATAGTTTAGAGGCGGTGCCTCCCAGACCAAAAAGGTAGAGATGGAGAGGAGGCATGAACCAGTTCTTTACAACTCATGACTGATATGCCCAACTTCTCTTACCAGTTTCCAAAATACTGGAGAAAGTGGGATTATTAAAATATGGAAGAGGTAGATTTAAGGCAAAGACTAATATGCATAACCCTCACAATATATAGCTGCTTACAGATAATGGAGTTCTTTCACTTATCTCAGTTTATCTTACAAAAATCAAAGTAAGAAATGGGTATAAAGAGGGGACCAGACCTCATTCCCTCATATACATACCTAGCATATAACATGCCATAAAAATGGGGCAGGTTGATGTAACACCATGCTAGGCTACAAGCTCTGTGAAGGTAGGGCCCATGTCCTACTGACTTCTCCTGTATCCCAGCACCTTAGCACTGTGCCTGGCCCCCAGACCTTATTTGTAAACTGAATGAGCACTCACTGCTCACTGGAGCCTTCAAATGCCCGGCCTGTGCTTGGTGGTAGAATACTACCCTGAAGGGGGTCCCAGCCTGCTAAGCCTTCCTGAAATCATAGAACCAGCAGTAGAATCAGATTTTCCGAAGCCAAACCCTTTCTCCTGTAAGAGACAGATTTATTGCACGCAGAGGGATGGCTCTTCTAGAACCAATGATAGTGGTAGGAAAATTTGGCCAGGTTCTGATCAGGAGGAGCCTTGGGCGCCAGGCAAGGTTGAATTCAATCCAGTAGGCAATGGGGAGCTGTTAGAAGTTGCTAAGCAGGGCACTGGTGTGATCAGAGCTGGTGGCAGGTGCAGTGATAGATGGTGTAGAGGAGCTAGAAGCACATCCTTTGGGCCCATGGGAAGCTCCAGTGTAAACGGATGTGGGAAGCAATCAAAGTGGAAAAGGTCTTAACGATTAGGATTCCTGGGAAGTGATTGATAACTAAGAAATGGGACTTCCTGGTCCTCTGGCCAACTTGGCGTTTCCACCTCTGCCCTTCCCCAGGCTTGGCCCACACCTTGATCCTAGCACTTTATGCACAAATGAAATTAGTGCCATTGGGAGGCTCCAGGGTGCTCATAAAATTCACTGACAGTTTGGCAAGTTGGACCCCTGTTCTGGGCCAGTCCAGTAGCCAGGCACTGGGAATCAGAGATGAACACACCCTCCCCCCACCCCACCAGAAGCATGAAATCTAGTGAGAAAGTACCAGCCTGGAGACATAAGAGACCCAGGTGTGCATTACTAACCTCACCACTTCCGGCCTCCTGACCTGGGCCTCAGTTTTCTGTGAAATGAGGAAGAACATGGATTGAGTGACATAGTACAAAGTGCTTGGCTTAGACTCTGGTTCAGTTAGTGGCATCTATTCTTATAATGGTTATTTGTTTAGCAGATGATTGTCCTACTAGGCCAGGAACTCCTCTATAGCAGAGATGAGGGTCACTCACCTCTGCATCCCAGCACATCATTCAGCAGCCCCTATTAGTAAGTGTCCACGGCGGGAATAAATGGGAGGAAATCAAAGGCTGGAGTTCTTGGAGGAGCTGCATTTTAGAGGAATGATATTTATATCAAATAATGTTCTGTGGCATGAGGCTTCCCCTCAGTTCGATTCTCAAGCGAGAGGGGGAGAGCACCCTCCTTTGATTTGGTATGCCTGTGGAATTTTATTGTTTTTTTAACTTTAATTTTATTTTTTATATTTTTAACGTTTTATTTATTTTTATAGTGAGGGGAAGAAAGGGAGAAAGAGAGGGGAGAGAAACATCGATGTGTGATTGGTTGCCTCTCATGCACCCACATGGGGACCTGCCCACAACCCAGGCCTGTGCCCTGACTGGAATCAAACTAATGACCTTTCATTTCACAGGCTGGTGCTTAATGCGCTGAGCCACTCAAGCCAGGGCGTCTGTGGAATTTTAAATGAATAGATTGTTAATAGAGATGATCAAGTCTATTTCTATGTAAACTGGATTTCTACATATAAAAATGGATGACCTTATAAATCCCAAACTACTTTCACAGAAACAGCTCCAGCCCTGGCTGGAGATGTTGTAAAGATTAAATGAGATGGAGCAATTTGGTGGATGATTCACCAACAATGCTGAGTGAAAGAAACTGTGATTCTGTAAGAATATCATTCATATTCGTAAAGGTAAAAACGGAACAGAGCTGCACTGTAGTGGTCAGGGCTACAAACAAAGGAGACAAAATTAAGGAAAGTGGGGGAATGATTACATCAAAAATCTAGATGCTGATTACAGGGCTGGGGGGGTGTGATCAGGAAGGAGCACGTAAGTGACTTCTGGGATGCTGGCAGGTTCTTTTTACTTGACTGAGTGGTGGTTACAAAGGTGTTTTTTGATACCATTTACATTTACTTTTTATAACTATTAAATTATATATAAATGTTTTCTTTCATCATTTAAAATATTTAAAAAATTCAGCAAGATTTCCTATGTAAAGTGCTTAATCCAGGACCCAGAGCACAGGAAAAGGCCAGGAAGCCTTTGCTGCCAGTTCTGCTTGTTATGTCCTATGTGCCTGCCTCCCCCACCAGGCACCAGATTCCAGGGTGATTCATCCCTGTCCTCAGGGCTCACACAGAGCACGGCCCCTGCACGTCTCGGGAGGATGGGAGCAGTAGAGGTGACCAGAGTGTAACACACGTTTTCCCTCTCCCAGACCTGCAAGGGAACGGGACCTGGGCCCGTGACCTCACAGCCAGGTCAGTGTGGGAAGAGCACCAGTTGTCCCTCCCAGGCTGCCCGAGCCCTTTAATGATGGATAAGAGGGAGGAGGACGACGATGAGGAAGCCTGGCTGCAGCTCCGGCCTGTGGAGCCCTTACCCTCCCAGTGCTGTGGCAGTGGCTGCTCGCCCTGTGTGTTCGACCTCTACAACCGAGACCTGGCAAGGTGGGAGGCAGCCCGAGCCAGCAAGGACAGAAGCCTGCTAAGAGGGAAGGAGTCACAAGTAAGAGAGAGGGGCTCCTCAGACAAGAGGGCCCGGGGGGCAGCATCTGTCTGGGTTTGACCCTGTACTGTGTACCTTCTTGGGGAGGCTTTCCCTGACTCTGTCCAGCAGAGAAAAGTGAGTGCACTGAGTGGAAGTAGACCAAAAAGCCTGGCCCTGAGTTGGGTATGGGGAGCAATTCCAAGGGTAATTCGGTGTGGACATTTTACAGAAGAGAGCGATCCATGAGTTATGGCATTCACAGACTTCCTGGAGGAGATACAGGTGAGATGGAATGTTAAGGGCTGAGACTTAGAAGACATGAATTTGAGTCTTTGCTCATGATGTGACCTTGGACAAGTGAGTCACTACCCTCAAGGCCTCACATGTAAAATAAGGATCTTAGATTACATCATCTTTGAGGTCTCATCAATTTCTAAATTTTGCAAATATGGATTTTAGCAGGTTTAACAGATGGGTGGGCCATTCATACATTAGAGATGAGTGTTCTGGACAGAGCGCCCAGCTTAAGCAAATAAAGGCTCACAGGTAAGAGGCAGCAGGGTGCTCTTGGGAGAATGGAGAAGAGCCTGGCATCGGAGCATGGGAGGTAAAATGAGGCCTGAGGTTGGTCCACAGGTCCCATGGGTGTCCAGCTAAGAAGCCTGCACTTTATCCTGGGGCTGAGGGGAGCCATGGAAGGATTAAGAGCAGGGTGAGCATGGTGTAAATTGCTTTGGCATTCTAAGATCAGAGCATGAAAGGGAAGTACGGTGTGACTAGGCTCTATTATAACAGAAAACTTACCAGGTGAGAGAGTGTCTCCTTTGGGAAAGTGGGAAGGGTGCTTGTGGATGCTCGCGTGTCTCTTGAGCCCCATCTTCTAGCTGTTGGATATTTTCCTGTTGCAGAGCTGCCCCTCCAAACTGAACCCAGAGATGTTCCTGGCCTTCCACATCAGTGCCATGGAAAAACTCACTAAAGATACCTACCGCATCCAGTTTGCGTTACCTGGGAACAGCCAGCTCGGCCTCTGGCCTGGCCAGCACCTCATCCTACGGTACACTCAGGTAGTGGGAGGATCAAAGCTTTGCAGCCCTGCTTTGCTGTTTGCTAGCTGTGTGGCCTAGGTCAACCGCTCAACCCCCTACTAGTCTTCTTCAAAATAGACATAATAATATATGACTCAGAGGACTTTGGGATTGAACTAGAGAATGCATTTTTCATAACTAATAATAATAACAGCAAATGCTTTTATAGCACATACTATCCAAGGCACAGTTCTGTGTGCTTATACATATGAATTCATTTAATTCTCACAAAATCCTGTTTGGTGGGTACTATTATACCCAAGAAGAAACCAAAATCATAGAGGTTCAGTAACTTGCCTGAGGTCACACACACACAGTTAGGAAATGTTGGAGCCAGGATTTAAAGGCAGGCGGTGTGGCTCTAGAGCCTGTGGTATGAACCTAATATGAGTAGCACCAGTTGATAGAACGCTGTCATTGAGAACAAGGAGCTTGCTCAATAGCACACAGCTAGTAAGCCATAGAGCCAGATGCAAACTCAGACAGCCCAGCTGCTGAGTAATGCTCTTAACTAGTCCTCTGAAGTTCCTTCTTCCTCCCAGCCTACTTGTGTACTCTCCCTCCTGCCTCAGCTCCCACCTTTACCTGCCCAGAGACAAGACCCTTTGCGACCTCCTGATGGAGGCCTCTGCCAGGCAGTTGACTCTGGGTATGAGGCTCAGCAGAGAGATCTGAGCTGCGGATATGGATATGGGAATCATTGGCATATACCTGGACAGCATTTGGGAGCACATGGCATGGAAAGAGAGAAGGGCAGGGAACCAAACCCTGTCTACTCCAGCATTTACGGTATTGGCAAGAGGAAGACAAGCCAGCAGAGGAGACAGAAGGCGCAGCTAGAGGATGAGGAAAATCAGGAGAGAGCATAGTACGGGTCACACTCTGGCCACTTGCCTTGCAGTGACCCCTGGTGTTTGTGCCCAGCTTGTTCTGGCCTGTGGCCTGGCCTGCGGTCCTTAAAGCTCACTGTTCCAATGGATGGGAGGGGCCGCAGAGCAGGTCACAGCCCCTGGCAACCAACCGTCCATAAATCAGGACCTCCCGCCCTCTTCTCCACCCTCTCTGCGACTCAAGTGGCATTCCTAACACATGCAGCCAACCATGTCCACTCCCTGTTCAACTGCCCTCTGGTGCTCCCTGATGCCTCCCAGTGACATCCTAACCCAGGCTCCCAGCTTCCTTTCCCACCAAGTTCTCCTACCCCTGCTGCACATTTGCCCCTTGTTCTAGCCTTATGGATCCATCCACCAGTTCCTGCCCTACATTATCCTACCTCTAAGCTTTTGCCCCAGCTATTCCCCTGCCTGGAATTACTGCCCTTCCTGTCCCCATTCTCACCTGCTGGTGGCCTGCTCATCCTTTAAACCCCAGCTCCAGGAGGCCTCGTGAGGTTCCCTGGGCCCCCAGTGAGAGTGGTTGCTCCCTCCATATGTCAGTTTTGCCTCTATTATACCAAATGTCACCGTGCTCTTTGCATCTAAGTCATGTCATGTGTTCTGGTTGTTATTCCCTCATTTGTTCCACAAATATTTATTGAATATTTCTGTTCAGCTCCCCTGCTTTTGATGCATTAGGATAAGGCCATTTTAAAAACCTTTGTAAACATTGTGGGACTCAAGAGAGGAGTGCTTAGGTGCTTCTGGAAAGCTCTGAGGAGTAGTGGTAACTTGGCTCTGCAGTCAGACAGAGCTACGTGTGAATTCTAGCTGTGTGACCTTGGGCAAGTGGCTTTCCTTCTCTAAGCCCTGGCCATTTGGGTTATTGCTTAAATGCAATAAGATAGCACATGTAATACGCTTGGTGTATAGCAGGCATTTAAGACAACAAGGCTGCTCTCTCGGTCGTGATGATCACCCTGCTCCCCTTGCTGACAACATTATGGCAAGGATTTGTGCACGGGGCCGGGCTTGGACTAGGGCGCCTTCGAGGATCCTTCCAATTCTGGTAATCCTGGCACACGGTAGTAAGTGTTTAATAAACAGTTGTTGAAAACAATTGTTTTTATCTTTATCATTCTGTGGTCGAAGAGCTGTCAGGAAAAAACCTCAGTGGTGTCCTAAAGACCGCTTCTTCGTCATGTACTTCTTGAAGCACTTTCTCTCTGTGATCCCAGTGGACCCACACAACAGGGACAAAGATGGTTGGCCCCATTTCATAGAAGGGGGAGCTAAGGGACTAATGACCTGCCCAGGGGCTCACAGCCAGCACAGGCGGGGGGAACTCAGTGCTTTTTTCTGTCCCATCTTGCTTGCCCCTCAGTGAGGACCACTGGGGATGACCCAACCCCACCTTCACTTTTACCAGCCTGGCAGAGTAGATACTTACACGGGTTTATTGAGTGACTGACTGAGTGCTTCTCTTTCCCAGAGGGATAGTAGATGGCTTAGAAATTCAGAGAGCCTACACGCCCATCAGCCCTGCCAATGCAGAAGGATTCTTTGAAGTTTTAATCAAGGTGAGCTGAATCACACGATGCTCTAAGGTGCTTCCATGGGTTCACATAGAAGGAGGCTGGCTAGAGGGGACAGTGAAGAACCTTCTGCCATCTCCTTTCCTGGTGAAGGGGGGCTGCCTGACCACCAACAGAGGTCCTATTGAAACCTGACAGGTTTTATGAAAATGAGGCTCAGACTGAGAAAGTTAAAGCTGCTCCTTCTCATTTTCTTGCCAATTGATGGAGAGTGAGCGCTGAGCAAGGGGGATGGGAGACAGCTGCCCAGCACCTACTGTGTGTTAAGCATCGGGGTCCAGATGCAACTGACCCAGAACAGTACGGTGTGATAGACCCCAGGACAGGAGCCCCCAGCTCAGGGTGCTGGAGCTGTGGGACAGCAGGCTGGGCTCCTAGCTGAAGTGTGTGTTTGAGCTGCATGTGGAAGTGAAGGAGCGGGGAACCAGAGGGGAAATGTGGGAAGGAAGCTCAAAGTGCTGGGAACAGCATGTGCAATTGTAAAGGAGGACTGATTGGGGAACTGTTCATCATTTGTCCTGGATCAGCACGGGGCTTGGAGGACTTTGTGGACCAAGCAACCTGAGATCACCTCTTGGGAAGGTGGGCAGGGGCCAGGGCATTTGAGCTGGGCCTTAAAGGAGGAGCAGAAATTGGCAGTGGCAAGGAATGACATCCAGGCCAAGGGGACGAATAAGCAAAGGTAGGGAGGGGTGAAACAGAACAGGGCCTCGTGGGAACTATTCCCGGCCTGAAAGGCAGGAGGAAAGGGGCTCATGGAGGCAGCCAAGTGGTGAGGAATTTAGCAGAGATGAGATGAGCAAAGTGAGTTGGATACAAAATACTCCAGAGACCCAAAGAATAGACACTGAATATAAAAGAATTCATGAAGGTCCAATTATGTGGGAAAAATAAATGGGTGGCACAGCATGAAATTGCTGCCACTCTAATATTTCTGACTTAGAGAAACAGCAGTTTCTTGTGGGTTAACCTAATATATGGCTCTAGATCATCATTTCCCAAATGGAATCTTAGGGAACACCAGTGTTTAAGAATAGCTTCACATTTTTTCATCTCCCTTGTAGAACAGGAATTATTATCCCCATTTCATTGATAAGCAAACTGAGTCCCCAGGAGAACCCGAAGCTCCGCAGCTGGTAAGAAAGGTGGCTGGTGGGAAGCCTTGGCCTTCTGATGGCATGACCCCAGCACCAGCTCTGGCTCCGCCTTCCCTGCCTGCCTTCAGAGCCTGAGCGTTTACTCCCTCACACATAACCTTGGATGGGATCCCTTCTCCACACAACTGTTTGTCTGGGAGATTCCACAAATCCTCTCCAAATGGCCTGCTTCCCCAAGCTGCTTGTCTGGGTGTGTTTCTGTTGAAAGGATAAGCCCGGAGACAGTTTTCTCCCAGCTGCAAGGCTGATTTTCTCCTTCACTTACCAGAAAGCCTCTCTTAGATGGATGCTTAATTATCCCTAAGCCGCTGGCTAGGAAAAGCTGGAAAAGATTGCAAATTGGGAAGGGAGAAGGGTTTTTTGGGTTTCTCCTCTTTGGTACATGGGAAGGAGGAACTCCCATTTCTCAGGCACTGTCTGGGAACCAGGCACTGCTTCTGGCATTTTATTCCCCTAACCACCCTACAGAGTAGATCACATTAACCCCATTTTACAGATGAAGAAGCTAATGCTCAGAGAGATGATATCATTGTCCCACGGCCCCTTGGAAGTGGAAGAACAAAAGTTCAGTGTCAGTCCTGTTTAACAAGTGTGTATTGAGCAGGCTCTGTGTGGGCTGTGCCTCCCCCGAGTCTGGGCCAGAAAACAAGGTGCGCTCTGAGACACGGCCTCCAGCAAGTTAGGACAATGGTAGCTTCCCTCCCAGACCTCTTCCTGGTGACCGAAGGACTTCCCTTGATTTATGCAAATGGCGTCCAAGGAAGTCAGGGGTGGTACTAGTAGAGGTGGCTGTGGGCACTTAAAAGCATGTCTGATGACCAAAGCCCAGTCTGGTTCCAGCCTCATCCCAAACACCCTTCCAGGCCTGACATCCAGTGCTTCCCTCTCACCCACCCTGCTGTGTCCACTTGCCGTTCCCAGCACAGGACCTGGACTGTTCTATCCTTGACCATACCCTACCTGACACCCAGAATCCTCTCTGCCCTCCTGCTCCCATTCATTCTCTGTGAATTCGATCTTACTCAGTCTTCCAGGTCCAGCTCAAATGCGTTCTCCTCCAGGAAGCTATCCTTGATCCTGCTCCATTTGAAGTGACTGCACGTCCTTAGTGTTCTCTCAGCACTGTATCTCTCTCGTGGAGTATTAGGGTGTCTCTGCCTTGTGTATGTCGGAGACTTAGGTTCCTCCTAGATTGTGAGCTCTTTAAAGGCAGGGCCTGAATCTGATCAATTGATTGGTTGATTCATTCATTCATTCAAATATTTATCAAGTCCTTTCCATGGTTCGGGCATTGGCTGCCTCCACAGAGCTTCAGGCCCAACTGTCTCCCCTGCAGCCTCAGCATGGTGCCTGGCATAGAGTGGGCAGGACCCCCGAAATGTGGACTGTCCTCCACCCATGGAGGAGTCTCCTTCACATCCTTCATGTTTTTTATCCAACAAGGAAACTGTAGGGTAATACAGGGATTTCAGACGAGTGGTCTACAAACTTTAGAAGGAGCATACACTCCCCAATTGGCCACAGTTCCCACTGTTCCCTGCTGCCCTCTTAAACTGAGGCTGAGTGTTTGTTGTCATTAGTCATCTCATACCCAGTTCTTCATTTAGGTTACCTGTATGGGCCCTTAGTTACTTGAGTTTGAGACCCCTTTAGCTAGACCTGGAGGTCCTACAGATTCTCATCCCAGCATCACCATTTCCCTTCTGGATAAGCTTCTGGGCTTCATCTAAAAGTTGGGAACGGCTACCAATTTTGTGGGATGATTAGGAGGATTAAATGAGATATCACATGTAATGCACTTAGCATTGCAGAAAGGGCTGCTGTGGCTTGTATTGGCAGCATGTGCCTGTGCCAATGAGGTCTCCCTGTGTTTGCTCCCAGTGCTACCCGACTGGGCTGATGTCCCGGTATGTTGAGTCCTGGAGAACGGGAGTCACGGCTTTCTGGCGAGGACCTTTTGGAGGCTTCTTCTATAAACCCAACCAGGTCAGTGCCAGCACATTGAGTCTTCAGGAGACCCCTCCCACCTTGGCCTCCAGGGCTGCAGCTTCAGGTTTCAGATTGTAGAATCTCACTGTACCATTCTTCCTGAGCTCAAACCCAAGTCCGAGAGTATCCTTGGGGTTGGACATGGGAGGAGATGGAATAGGCACTAAAAAACAAAATTGCTCGCCCATGCTGCAGAAATATCCATGACTGCCCATCGCTTAGAAAATTCAGACTCATGTGCTTGGTATTTAAGGCCCCCATCCCATCTTACCCTGAGATATGTTTCCAGTTACAAGGCTGTAGAGACTGTCCCATGGCTCACTGCTTGGAAGCCACTGCTTCCAGCCTGCAATGCTCTTCTTATCTCCGTGCTGTGTTTAAAGCCTTCCCTCATGTTCCCAGGAAGAATTAGCAATTTCTCATCAGTTGGTGCATTTCTGGAGAGCAATTTGGCAGTATGAAGAGGCTTAAGAGTTTTTAACACAGTAATTCCACTTTTGGAAGTCTGTCCTGTGGAAACAATCCAAAATGCTGACTCTTTTGCACATGTTCATTGCAGCTTTATTTATAATAGCAAGAAATTGGAGATAACTGAATATTCAACAACCGGGGGACAGTTAAGTACCCTGGGTTACAAGTACTTAAAAGAATATTATCTTGGATTTTAAAATTATGTTAATAAATGATAATGTATGTTTATGTTATAAGGTCAAGGGACAAACACTAGGTACAAAACAATATACAACAGGCTGAGAAACTAAGTTAAAATGTACAGAAAAAATATGAAAAGAAACTGCAATGAAATAATAGTTCTGAATGATGAAATAAATGGTTTTTATTTTCTTCATTATATTTTCCAAATTATCCACAATGAACACCTATTACCTTTATAATTTGGAAAACAAAGCAAAACAAAAACAAATGGAAAAGAATGAATCATTCCTCTCCCTTCTTTTTGTTTAACTTAAAAATAGCTTTTATTTTTATTTTTTTTTTCCTTATTACAAATGCAGTACATGTTCATTACCCCAAAAAATCAGCAGATATAGAGTGGCAATAAGGAGAAAATGAAGAACACCTGCAGGCCATCCACCCAGACATATCAGTCTTACTGCCTTGGCATATATCCTTCCAAACCCTCTTCCACACTGCGGTGTATATGCAAGGGTGTACACATATGTGTGTATAATAATATCAATCATATATGGGGCACCTCCTTTGAGTTAGACTCTGATTTTAGTACGTACGTGTAGTAACTCATTTAATCCTCACAACAGCTCCTAGGCACTACTACCTTCATTTCCCACATATGGAGGTGTGCATATATTAATACTCTCCTACAACATTCTCCTAATACTAACCATGCTCAGCCTTGCACTTTAGCTGAGCATGTCCCTGTGTCCCCGGGGCCCTTGAGAGCAGGCCCTAGGGATTTTCCATTTCCTCCCAACCTTGAGGTGCACCTGATGAAGATTGTCTTAATCACCTTTCCCAGGTGGGGCCTCTCCAAGCCTTATGGCTGCCCTTCTGCACCCACAGAACATGGCTGGGGAGCCCCTGCCTGTCTGCCTGGGGAGGCGGTAGGGCCCAGCAGTGAGGAGGAGAGAGGTGGTCTCACACTGACACTTGGCCCCTGAACTGACAGGTAAACTTGGCTCAGCTCCTCTGAAGAGGCTGGGTTGCACTAGCCCTCATCTCAGCCCTGTCTGGCTGCTCTGTACTTGTCCTCACGGCAGATGGACGTCGGGTCAGCTCAGACACTGCACATTGGCATCTGTCTGTGAGCTCTTCCACAGACGTTCCCAGGTATTCAGCCAGGGCCAGGCCCGTGCTGGACCCTGGGGGGCCCAAGATGGCTCAGACAAGGCCCCTGTCCTCCAGAAGCTCACGGTCTGATGGGCAGATAGGCACACAAACAGATGTGAACAACACAGCATGGCCAGCGTAGTGAGGCAGGGTGCACCGAGGACTGTGGGGAACAAGGAGGGACCCCTCACCCGTCCCTGGCTCAGGGACGGCTTCCCAGGGGAGAACCTCAGCAGCAATGGGAGGAGGAGGAGCAGGCTAGAGACAGGACAGTGGACGAGCAGGGACACAGGGCTGGGCAGCATGGCTGGCAGGAGGGGCTCAGAAAGGCCATGGCATCTAGTTGTTAAGCCCCAGGCCTCACCAGGCACCGCTTTTAATCCTCGTGATAATTCTGAGATAGGTGCTATTATGGGGAGGGGCCGGTTTTTACTTTATTTTACTTTATTTTATTTTTTAACCAAGGAAGAAACTAAGGCTCAGACAGGTGAAAGCATTTGCCCAGAGCCCATGGTGGGGGATTTATACCCAGACCTGTGACTCCTGGCACCTCAGGAGGTAGTTTATGCAATGCTGTGGTGTGTGTAGGGGCCGTCAGTAAAGCTAGTGAAACCCCGGACTGTATTCACTGAGGCCTAGTCTCTAGAACAAGGAGGTGAATACCTCACTGCATGGGCCAGGCACTAACCTTTAAGGCACTGACCATAAAGAGGACGGCCTCTCTTTAAGAGGCCTAGAGCCAGGAAATGTGCTCAGTGAGGAGGGGCTGATGGAACTAGGGCCTCTTAGGGTGGAAACTCAATTATTTCATGGCTCTCCTGTGCTAGACACTTACATATAGTATTATTTAGCCTAGAGTGGAACAGTCTCAGGATTCCAAGCCAGTGCCCTTGGGTCTCTGCAGGGCCGCCCTGGGGCAGAGGAAGCAGCCCAGAGGGCAGAGCCGGGGTGGGGGCAGTAGGGTGAGAGCAGGTTTGAGCTCCGCATGAGGTGGGAAGACCCCCCTGGCGAGGGAGTCAGTCCATAACAGAGCAAACTGACGAGAGGTAGTGGACTGCCCGTCAGCAGAAGTATGTACAAGTCCTGTGGGGATGCTTTAGAAGGAAAACAAACCACTTGTAAGATGGGCCACACCCATATGTTCCCTTTCAGCCCCTAGATTCCATGTTGTCTGTTACACAGACCTCACAAACCATAGACTTGAACAAGCAAGTGGTTTCCTGGAGGAGGTAGAGAGGGAAACTCAGATGCACGAACACCAGGAAGAGCAGTGCCGTCTGGTTCCAACAAGCCCAAGGAAAGGCCCCGTAGCGGGCAGGTGGGATGAGACCACCCCCCGCCCACCCTGTCACACACCCATGCTGTTCCCCAGTACGGCGAGCTGCTCATGCTGGCTGCGGGCACCGGCCTGGCCCCCATGGTGCCCATCCTGCACAGCATCACGGACAATGAGGATGACGAGACCTTTGTCACCCTGGTTGGCTGCTTCAAGACCTTTGAGGGCATCTACCTGAAAACCTTTCTGGAGGAGCAGGCCCGTTTCTGGAACATCCGCACCTTCTTTGTACTCAGCCAGGTAAGCCCAGGGTGATGATTGTGCCCGTGCCGTAATAATCCATGCCGCGGTGGGATCCCACCACGTGCCAGGCGGGGAGGGCAGGTATTGTCGTGTTCATCATGCAGACAAGGAAACATGCTCCCAGTAGTGATGGTGCCAGCCAGTGCCATGCTGCTAGGTGGGCTAAAGCCAGGATTTGACCCTGGGGCTCTCTGATTCCAGAGCTCCAGCTCTCACCCATCATGCTTTGCTGCCCACCGTCCGCCCACTGGCATCGTCCGTTGGGGGCCTGGTTGTGGAGTCAGTGGGCCAGGCCACGGAGTCCTCCTCGAGGCAGAGACTACCTGTCTGGACCACCAGACCTCCTCAGTGCTCAGCACAGTGCCAGTGCCAGGCACAGGGTAGCACCCCTCCCTCAACCACTGTGGAATAAACTAGATCTGAGTCCACTGCACTCAGTAGAGTTCCTACCACATCGCTTGGCCCCTGCCTGGGAGGAAAGCTGCTCCCTGCTCTCCAGGCTGCAGACACTCAGGCGACTCTGCCCGCTGACCCCTCTTCCCTCTGATCCCATCCCCTCATTCACCCAGGCCTTCACGGTGCCTCCCTCCGGGCCATGACATGGGGGGCCCATCTTGCCCCTTATTTCCATCTTGGCCCTCAGCTCTCTTTGTTCACCTGCCTTCCCCTGGCTGGTAGCTTTATTTCTCTCTCCTGTGTCCCCTGGGTTGGGGTGCCCTGCTGGCTGGCGCCTCCCTCCGGTCCCCGTTGCTCAGGGTCAGCCTGCGCCCTGCCCTGCAGGTGCTCACCTGTTCGTGGGGAGGCGGCCACAGGGGCTGCGGACAATGGCTCCGTCCCAGAGCACTTTGTGCCCAGCACTGTGCTGAGCGTTTTTGTGTGTGGATTCATGTAACCCCCCACCACAATCTTAGGAGGTTTGTGCTGCCATCACACCTATTGTATAGATGTGGAAGCTGAGGCACAAGGAGATTTAAGAATTTTGCTCAAAGTAACATAGCGAGTTGGTGGAGAGCTGGGTGTGAGCCCTGGACATCCTACTCTGGGAGGCCCGGCTGTTACGGTCCATCAGTATAAGACAGCGCAGGGACACACGCTGCTGAGGGTGTTCAGGGTGCTGCAGCAAGCAGGGAGGGCTTCACAGAGGAGATGGCCTCTGAGCCTGGGCTTGTGGGGAGAGCTAAAGTTCACCAGCAGTGGAGGGCCTTCAGCCCCGGGTGGGGCTTGGATGATGCCTGTAGCCTGGAATGTGGTAGGCGCGGGGGCTGGCCATCCGTGGCAGGGGCCATGGAGTGAGAGGCACCTCCTACCTGCCTGCCCTCCCTCCACTCAGGATGCTCCCTCTCCTGTCTGGCCACACTGGCAGCCAGCAGCCAGTGCCAGCTTGAATCTTCAAGTGCCCCCCTGCCCCAACCACCCTCTATGGATTTGTCCTTCATCCTGCAGCTGGAAGGACCACACCGCTACCCTGCCTCCAGCCCTTCCCTGGCTCCTTCCTGCTCTCGGGACCGTGTGAAGCCCGCATGGCGGTGCCAGTCCTGTGCAGCCCGTCTCCTAACGCGCCCTCCTGCATGCGGTGTTCGCGTGTCACTGGTCTGCCTGTGGTTGCAGTGCCCTGTGCTTTCCTGGCTGCTGGGCCTTTGCTCAGCAGCGTCCCCCTTGCCAGCAGCGCTTCCCCCCACTTCTCCTCCTAACACTGACTCATCGCCACACCTTTCTGCTGAGGTGTAATTCCTTTCTGGAAGCCTTCCCTGAGCCCCTGGGCTGCTGTCGAGGTGTCTGCTGTCACAGCCTGGGCTCTCCGCCTGCACAGCGCCCACCCTGTGCACCACCACTGTTTACCATCCCCACCCCACTGGGCAGGACCCGGACCCGACACCACTCTGGGCGCAGTTGAGGCGGGCTGAGCTGAGCCTAACTGGCCTGAGGGAACCGGGCCGTGGGAAGGAGAGGTGAGGCCGGTGGGCCGTCCTCGGGGTCCCGTGGGGTACCTCCGAGTGTGGAGGGAGCTAGGAAAATGTGGGTCATCAGAGAGGACCCCCCGCCCGCCACACTGCAGTGCTGTCCTCAGAGGGCCCTCAGGGCCAGGCAGGCCCTGGGAGGCGGCCCCGAGGCCCTGGGCGTGCACCTGAGGTGAGAGGCCTGCGCTCATGGAGCCTCTGCCCGGCGTCCCCGTCACCCACACTCCTCACAGTTGCTCAGAGAGGTCACTGTCGCTCAGCCAGAAAATGGCAGCGAAGCCCAGATTCCAACCCCAGCCCCCTCTCCTGCCTCTGCTCAGCCCCAGGAACCGGAGGCTCGCCTTAATAGGGCCTGCAGCGGTCTCAACAGTCCCGTTCTGCAGGGGGTTTTTTGTTTGTTTTGGGTGCTGGTTACATGAGTTCTCTTTGTTAAAGTTCTTCAAGCTATATATACTTAATGATTTCTGTGATTTTGTATACATATGTTATACTTGAATAAAATGTTTACTTAAAAGAAATTCCTCCAAGTCAGCTGGCAGTAGACCAGCTTTGCTTTTGCGACCCCGAGGCTGAAAGCCACACGCTGAGGCTGGGAGCACAGAGAGCCTGCTTGGGCCCCTCGGGCTGGCGCCGTGCAGCCCCGAACTTCCGCCAGCCTCTTTCTGTGAGAGAAACAGACCCCTCTCTTGGTTAAGACACGGATGCCTGAGACCCCTGATACACACGGACAGGGTGAAGCCAGCAGCCTTGCCTGTTCGGAGCAGCTGCCCTGTCCGCGGTGCCTAGCACAATGCCAGGCACGGAGCGGCCGCTCCATAAATGTCATTAAGTCAACAAGTTAATTGAAACCTTAAAACAAATGAAGAAAACCTATGCTCCAAGGGTGATAGGTATAGACAACCCTGGGAAGAGGCCAGCGGACCCACAGGAAGGCGGGGAAAACTCTCCCAGGATGACAGGCACTCGGCCCCAGAGGCAGTGAGAGACAGTGGGGCCTGAGCTCCAGCCCTGCCAAGCCCGCCTCATTGCGTGCCCTGGAGCGTGCCTGCTCCCTGTTGTAGGAGGGTACAGAACTGCCACCAAGGTGGTGGCGGGCGCTGAGGCCCCGCGGGAGCAGGTCCCTGGCTTGCGGTAGGGCTGGGCTAGGTGAAGGTTGCCCGCTCCCCGCCACCCCCAGTTTCCTCATTTGGCAAAGAGAGCTGTTTTGTGTGAACGCTGAGGACCCCCCAGCAGTCACCCCCACTGTTTCTCATCCTCCCAGGAGACCTCCCCAGAACAGCTTCCCTGGAGTTACCGGGAGAAGACACGCTTTGGCCGCCTGGCCCAGGACCTGATTGAAGAGCTGGTTGGCTCCTGTCGGAGAAAGCCATTTGCACTGGTCTGTGGCTCAGCTGAGTTCACCAAGGACATGGCCAGGTGCTTGCTGCACGCAGGCCTGGCCGAGGACTCCTACTTCCTCTTCTAGGCCTGGCCTCCCTTCCAAAGCCCAGGCCAGGGCCTTGCCCGTGGGACGTGGGGAAGGGCACAGACAGGAACCAGCGAATGTGGACAGGAGACCACTGCTAACTTGCCAGGTGGCCTCGGGCAGCTGTCTTTACGTCTGTGCACTGCTTCTCATCTACCCCACAAAGCTTCCGACTCCCTCAGGACGGCATCCTGCTGTATGGAGGGAGAATGGGGCTGCAGGGGCCTTGGCGGTGGCGAGAGTAACATCCGGAGTCAGGAGGGCTCCCGGGAAACTCCCAGTCCAGGCCACGCCCAGGATGAGTAGGACTTGGTAGGAGAAGGAGCTGGAAGAGCTCCTCTGGCTCCCCAGGTTAGAGGGCTCCTGTGGGGCTCCTTTCAGACCGTGCCCTGTAATGTCTATTCCAGAGCCACCTTCTCTGGGGACATCCCTGGGTGGGCTCAGGCCTGGCTGAAATGAAGGGTCTGTTTAGTGTTCAGGGGACGGCCACAGGGGCGGCTGAGAGGGGGAGCTTGCCTTTGTACCTCCAGTGCCATGAGCCTGACACAGGAAAAGTCTTGGGCCCTGTGACCTGACCACCCTCTCAGAGCTTGGCGGGGCCTCGTGTTACCTTTGTTTTATATTGGCCCTAGGCCTTTCCCACTGCAAACAGCTTCAAACTCAGTTGCCCTTCCCTGGCTCAAGAGTCCAGCCCAGAATCCTTTTTCCAGCAAAGGAGGCACAGCCGCAAAGGCCCCTCCCTCTTGCAGGCAGCCAGCTCAGCCCTCCCTTCAGCTCTGGTGCCCTGGCGACGGTTGCTATGGAGATCTAAAGATAGAGCAGGAGTCAGGAGACCTGGGTCCTTCTCCTTGCTCTGCCCACTGAGTGGAGGCTGATTCTGATCCACCCACCCCTTTGCTCCACACCCGCCCCCTCCATCCTGTGTGGGGCATGCCCTCCCCAGGGAAGCCAGCGCCCCTGGGCAGCGCACTGCGGTTGATGAATTCTGCTTTCCACAGCCTGAGCCCCAGTGCGCGATGCCAGCTCAGGCTGGCTACAGGCATTCCCAGAATCAGAATATTAAGTCATGGACTCAGAATGAGAGAACCATAGAATCGCGGAGTTAGAATTTTACAGCCATAGAATCACAGTCCTCATTATATCAGCGATTCAAAGTCGACTCCAGAGAGCATCCAGCCTGCCAGACTCCTTGTATCCACAGGGAAGCCAAGGCCCAGTGAGGCCAAGTGACCTGGCGAAGGTGAGCAGTTCACAGCAGGGCCAGCGCCACAAGCCGGGTCACCCAAAGGCAGCCCTGTGCTCAGAGTTCGGTGCCGGTGGTGTTCACACTGGGCTCCACAGGCAGAACATGAGGGTTCCTGGCCCAGCAGGGGGAAGGGACGGCCAGGCGGGATCTCCAGGCTCCCCTTTGACCAAAGCAGTCTCGTTTCTATCCCATTTATGTCTTGGGGCTTGGATTAATTTTCATTTGTGCAAGAAGGGTTTCCATACACCACCCAAAAAGTTGCAACAAATCTCTCTACTGTGCCACATTCAGTAAATAATCATGACAAGCAGTTGGGGGATGGTGCCAAAGGTTTCAGACTGTTTCACAGGCAAAATTCCATGGTCAGATACACGTGGGGAATACCGAATGTGACCTTCCCCAAGAATCGCATGTGTGTGAGTATATTAAAGGTTCTGAACAGCCCAGTGGTAAAGAAACTTTTTTTCATTTTGTTTAACCCAGAGTTTCCCAAGCTTATTTAACTGTAGAACATTTCTATCCACTAGAAGCTTCTGAGACCAGCGATCCATGGAATAGGCTTTGGGAAATGTTGTGCTGTCACAGAACCTCTTTGTAGCCCAGTGCAATGTGTGGGAGGGCCGCGCCCTGAGTCAGAGGCCCCAGCCTGTGCCTCGGGCAAGACACGTTGCCTCTCTCAGGGCCACGGGAATCTGGGCACCTACCCTCGTGCTTCCCCTCCTTCAGTCAGCACATCTGACTGAGTCTCCTCCCAGGCACTTCTGGAGCGCCTGGTATGAGCCAGACTCTGTTCCAGGCACCAAGGAAACAGCAGTGAAAAGGCATCTAGTAAGCTCCACTGGGGAGCTTACTGCCCGAAAGGAACGCAACAACTAAGCCAGTAATTCTGGAAGGGATGGGTGTGCTAGACGGGGAGACACGGAGTGCTAGGAGTGGGTAGCAAGGGCTTTTAGCCTCATGTGGGGGAGGGCCAGGACACGCCTCCCCACTGAGGGTAGAGGCTTCAAAGGCAATTCCTTGCTCATAAGGGTGATGGACAGGGGGTCCCCGCTTAAGGGCTAGGGAGTCTGGGGCAGTTCTTGTGTGTGTCTTTGTCCCCTTTTAGATATTGGATGTGTAGACATTAGACAAGGCCACCCAGTGAGAACCAGTAGCCTCCCTGGTCCTGTACAGTCACCTTTCTCTTCCCTTCCCTCCACGTGGGATCTGTGCAGCCTGGATACTGGTGGGGTCTCTTATCATAGGACATCGGTAGGGCCCCAGCCATGCCCTCGGTGCCAAGATGCCAAAGGGCTCACACCATCCGGAAACCTGAGAGCTCGTGGCCGGGTGCTGTGCCTTGTCAGATGCTGAGTGAGTCCAAGAAGAGGACTGGTTGGGATGTGTGAGGATGGACCTCTGAATTGGGGGTGAGGGTCCTGTCAGCTGGCCCATTCCTGCCACCTCTCCTGATGATGCCCTTGCTGCGTGTCATGGGAACTCTGCTGTCAGGGTGACGGCAGCAAAAACAACCACCTCACTGTGTTTTGCCTGCACCACCTGACCATCCCCTCATTGCTCTTCCAGCCTCCAGCCTCCCCCATGCCCCCTCTCACGCTGCCAGACCAGAGAGAGAGAGAGAGAGAGAGAGAGAGAGAGAGAGAGTGTGTGTGTGTGTGTGTGTGTGTGTGTGGTGAGAACACTTAGCATGAGACCTACATTCTTAAGGCATTTCCAGGTGTACAGTGCATTATTGTTGACTGCAGGTACAGACCTTCAGAGCTTATTCAGACCACTTTTTTGCTCACACACAAGTCTGAGCCTATCAGTCCCTTGCTTAAGGTCCTCCAAGGGCTCCCACTACCCTTGGGATGCAGCCTCTCAGCTCTGTTCACCTTTCCAGACTTACTTTATGTTACTGACCCCTGACCCGCACCCCCAGCTCTTAGGTTTCAAACTTGTTCTCTTGTGTCAGTCATTCCCTTCACATCCGCTTGCTGCTCCCTGTGCCTGGGCCATCCTGCTACCCTCTTGTTACCACTCGCCTTGGCCTCCTTGTCTTTTAAGGGCTCAGCTCAGTGTCTGGGAAGCCTTGCTGGCCTCTGCCACTCCCGGCGAGGTTAGTGAGCAGCCTTGTGAGTTCCGTTGCCGCACCTCGCAGACTGTCTCGTTTGCACGTGAGCGCTCCAGGGCCCTGTACCCCAGCTGAGTACACCCTGAATGTCGACTACCTGAATAATAGACAACTAATATTCATGGGGTACCTTACAGGTTGCAAAATGCTTTTTCATCTACATTGAAGCGTGTAATTGTTACCAAAATGCATGCTATTTTAGTACCCCAGTAGACTGATGAGGAAACTAAACTTCTGAGATGTTAAGCCGTTCTCCAAGGTCATATAGGGGTACACATGCTGTCATTGTTAAACTGGTCATATGTGACACATGAGCACACCAGGAGATGTATGTAAAGATATACATTGTGGCACTGTTTGAAATAGCAAAGAATAAAAAAGTACCTACTATCCATCAGAAGGAGTCTGGAGAAATGAACTGTTCTGTAGAGATTCGTCAGCGGAATACCATGCAGCAGTTCTAAATGAATGAAGCAGGTCTGCATGTACCGACATAGACTAAATCCTAAAAACATAGTAACTGAGTAGAAAGCAATTCTAAAAGGAAAGTTACAGTGAGATAACCATATTTGGAAAGTTTAAAAACACAAAAGGGTGCCAAATGCTCGGGAAGAAGATCCACCAACTTCAGGGATAGTGGTGATCTCTGGGGATAGAGGGAAGGGAATGGGGCGGGGTGGGTGGAGGGCCTTTATCTTCGTCACTTTACTACAAGAATATTGGAGCCCTGACCAGTGTGACCCGGCTGGGTGTCGTGCCCCAGGGCGAAGGGCTGCCCGTTGGACTCCTGGTCGGGGCACATGCCCGGGTTGTGGGTACCGTCCCTGATCAGGACACATGTGGCCAATTGATGTTTCTCTCCCTCTCTTTCTCCCTCTCTTTTCTGCTCTCTAAAGATAAATAAATAAAATGTTTGTTTAAAAAAGAATATTTGAAATGAGTATGATCAAATACAAACATCTGGGGGATGTGGGTGATGGGCTCTACCTTTTTTGTGTTGTAAATAGTTCCATAATTAAAGAAACTAGAGGCTTAAAAACATTCATTCCCTCTCCCCCACTTCAGGATTTGCTGCGTCCCTTTATGCCTCCAAAGTTTTGTGTCTCTCATTTGAAACAATTTGTGAGCACCTACTGTGTGCTGGCCTGGTTTAATACAGCAGTAATAGTATAAACAATGTCCAGCACTTGTAGCTTACATGCTGTTCCTTCTGCTTGTCCCTCTTCTTTTCCTTGTAAACTCAACCAGAGTGACTTTCCAGGCACCACAGGTGGGATTCTTTTTTCCTCCTTTTTAAAAATTGTGTTCCTTCTTTTGTGAGGCAGACCTAGCTAAGATCATGTTAAGTATTGAAAGCAAGTAGCTAGGCCTCTCTGAGCCTCGGTTTACTCGTATACGAAATGGAGACAATAGCACATCTCCCGGGGCTGCGGGAGGATGCAGGAGGTGTGCGTGATGCCCGAGCACGGCCCCTGGCACGGAGCAGGCGAGAGCCCGGCCTCCTCCTGGCCTCACGCCGGTGCCCCTCTCAGCAGTGCCTTGTTCATGGCTGGCCTCTCAGGATAGCACTTGTCCTCAGACTTCGCACTCTCTGCAACTTCCCTTTTTCTTATTTTCGCCATGCATTGGAAGATTTTGATTCCAAATTGCATGTATTAAGTCATTATTATTTTATCTCCCATTTCTTATTAATCAAAGACATAGATAGCTGCCCCTCCGAGCTTCTGATCTGTACAGGCAGCTGGGAGTGCACGTGGCTGACATAATTCCAGCCAGAGGCAAAGGCAGTCAACAGCGTGTGTGGCCGCAGTGGCCCAAGGAGGGGTAAATGTAGACACATCACACTCATTTGCTTTTAATCGGCCATGCGCTGTGGAAGCTGCCGGCCTTGCCTGGGTGGGCACTGCTTTAACAAGTCACTGAAAGATGAGCTAGGGGCTGCTTTCAGGGCCAGGCTCTAGCGTGGGGCCCCACACAGGTCCCAGACCCCTCATCCCAGAGAGCTCACTCCAAATAGATGGCGTGCACCGGCGCCACGCGCAAGAGTATGGGGTTCACATAGCGGAAGGTGGCAAAGCCGTGCGCGTGCGGTCCCAGAGGCTCTGGCTGGAGTCTACTACACCACCCTGCCCCTTGCTCCCAGTGCTGGCAGAGCTTGTAGTGGGGCGAGATGACAGCCTTGACCAGGTCTCAGACCTGGGCACTCAGCGCTGCAGCAGGTGGGTACACTGGGCTGGATGATATTCCACGCCGGCCGCTCGGAGAGCAGGCAGGCCTGCATCAGTTCCTCCGCCTCGGCGCAAGGGAACTTCCTTTCTGGCTGGCCAACCACAAGGGAACCTGGAAGGAGGAAAGGAGGGAGGTGTTCCTTGCAACAAGGAACATAGAATTTGGGCCTAGTATGTTGGACATAGAATCCTGAGTTGGAGCACAGGATCGGGACATTGGGATGGAAAACGGAACGCAGAACCTGGAACCCCAGAAGATTAACGTTAGCTGTGCACTCCTGTGCAGAGATTAACCTGGCTTCCTCGTGCCTCAGCCCTAAGTGCCCTAGGGCTTGTGGCCCTGGCTCCCCTCCCCTCCCTGTGCCCCCGGGCCACTGCCCACAGCTGCTCCTGGGTGATGCTGATGGGCCGCTGATGGTTCAGCAGGAGCCGCCGTGCTCTCGAAGATGTCCGATTCTGTAAAAGTGAAAGTGAGCTTGGAGGCAAACATTTACTAAGGGTCTACTGAGTGCCAGGTTTTCGTCTTCTGTGTCAGATGGGGTTTGTCCCACAGCTGGGAGGTGATTCAGGGAAGCACGGTAAGGGAGTAGGGGAGGAAAGCCAACAAAGGGCACGCTGAGGGGCCGGTTACCCCAGGGGGCAGCTGGGGCTCACCTGCGAGGTCCCACCATAATACTGCTAAATGCCTTTCAAACTCTCCAGCCAGGGGGCATATTTATCCACCAACATCCATCATCCCTCAGGGGGCGAGCCTTGCTCCCTGTGCACCAGCTCTTGCATTCGTGACCTCCCAGGGGTGGCTCCGTGCCCGGCAGCCAGAGACAACCTCAGGCAGAGAGACGCAGGAAGCCTGGTGCATGTAGAAAATTTCTGCAGGTTCCTCCGGGTGATCTGGGTAATATAGGTGACACGTCAACAGTGTGGCTAAGTTATCTCACTTCTCATCATCTTCAGAGGTCAGTAGCCTCCTTATTCTGTAGGCAGAGAAATGAAGGCTCAAGAGGTTAAAGCAGCTGGCGGAGACCGTGGTGTTCTCGCAGGAGGGCAGGCCTCCATCACATGCCCCCTCCTACCCCACCAGCCGTCGCATCTAGTGCAGC